CATTATATGTAAAACGCACTAGACTGAATGATAAATGTGTGTTGTGATATTTAATTTGAAAATAAATGTAGCTAGTTTCTTTATATTATAGCATATGTCTTTTATCTTATTTAACCATAATCATGATACCGTAACTGTCATCTCTTGCTCACTTTCCCGTGAACAAACGCGCATAAATAAGTGGGACTAATGAAATTCAATAATAATGGCGGAGCCTCAACATTGGATTTGCAGCGTTGCGCATTATAGCCATTCGCGCTGCAGCTGAAGTGAATGACAGCTTGGGAGCACTCGTTGCTCGCTTTCTGTAGCCTATATCATTTTATTTTTAAGATTTATTTTTAATGCTTCTGTAAAGGACTAACAGCCACATAGCCTATACACTGCAGAGTTTAAGGAGAGACACAATGGCACTTAACCGTAAAGGCATATCTAAATATGTTTGTTTTCATTTATGAAGAATTAAGTGTGTAGTTTATGCACATTTGTTCAAAACAGTCTGGCAGATTGTTCACAAGATGTAGGCAAAAGTTTTTATTGTTTACAGGAAGGATGTGCGTTCTTATCTTTCTTCTGTTGCGCTGCTTGTCTATTTTTTCTTCAAAGCACCAACTTAGAATGTTACAAGCTATTTTGGTTTGATTGCTTGTGTTACATGAAAAAACTTTTCTTTTTTTTTGCCTTACTGATGCAGTAGCCTATTTAATGCGGGTGTGGTTCAGGGCGCGGTCTTTATCTCAAACGGGTCGGGTACAAAATGTAATTTGTGCTGCTGTCGGATAACGGGTCGGGTGTTCTGTTATGTACTGACCCATGCAGGACTCTGCTTTAAACTGCTTTGCGTCTCTCCGTCAGATAACCTCACGTGCATAATGTGCCATTTACGGGTATTTCTCTAAATCGACACACAGCTCATATATTTTTCCACCACGGGGTGAGAACGTAATGATTACGAAAACGATTATTTATTTTTGATAATCATTATTTTATTTCAGTTAGTTTTGCAATAACTGTTGTTAGTTTCGTTTCGTTTTAGTTTTTCATTTATTTTAATTTTTTTATTTTATTTCAGTTTACGAAAATGTTTTTTGACCAATCGTTTTCATCTTAGTTTTAGTTTTCGTTTACGAAAATAACCTTGCTGGAGACGGGCTTATTTAAAATGAAAACTCATTCTCTGCCAGCAGGAGGCGCTTTTAGAGCGATAGAACTAGCGGTTTCCCCGGTAATGGCTGTAATCAAAGCAGCTCCGCTCATGAATGCTACTTTATCAGATCAAATGAAAATCGGTCTTTATCTCAAACGGGTCGGGTACAAAATGTAATTTGTGCTGCTGTCGGATAACGGGTCGGGTGTTCTGTTATGTACTGCGGATGCAGGTTTACCAAACAGGACTCGTGCAGGACTCTGCTTTAAACTGCTTTGCGTCTCTCCGTCAGATAACCTCACGTGCATGATGCGCCATTTACGGGTATTTCCCGGTATTTCCCTAAACCGACACACATCAATTTATTTTGATTTTTTAAAATTTTATTTCAGTTTACGAAAATGTTTTTTGACCAATCGTTTTTGTCTTAGTTTTAGTTTTCGTTTACGAAAATAACCTTGCTCCCTCATACGTCAGACTATTAATAAGAATATTAATACAGACCACGTAGTCTGATATAGTGACCCAATTTGGACACTTAACAAAAAAAATGTGGACACTTAAGTCATGCTTAATTTATGAATGTCTTATTTTTAGCATCTTATTATTATATTACTATATTTTATTTTGTTTTATTATTATCTTTTAGATATGTATAATTTATTTATTTTTCAAACCAAGTAGCATGTGTTTATTTAAAATAAATAGCACAAACACTTTACAAGTCAAAAATTTCACAAAAGGACAGTAATCCAATTTCAAATAATATAAAAGATTGTTTAACATTAAGATGAAAACTATTTGGACACTAAAGTCATACTTAATACATGAACTTTTTAAAAATTATTTTATTTAATTTCACAAACATTTCAAAAAAGGTAGTTTCAAATTAAAAGTGAAGTTGGGTAGAGAAAAGCATAATTTGCTTGCAGATGCCACTTGTTTAAATATTTTGTATTAATGCGTTGGTGTTTTTAAGTGTGTTTTTAAATATTTTTGGGGCCACCGAATATACTAATATACTTGTGTTCATCTTTTGCTAACAGAAATAACCTTGTCTCCTTGTTTATTTATGCTCAGTCATGAGAGGGAGATCATTATAGGGCTTGTTTTGTGTAGTGTGTGTGTGTGTGGCTCTCAGCTGATTTTACTTAATGAGGATCCTGCTAGCAGCACATCACGGGTGAGAGTGTGAGGAAGGGATTGCAGTGTGTGTGTCTGTAATGGATTGGTATTCCCTCTGTTCTTTTTTCTAAAAATTGAAAATGATCATTAAGTCACCTGAGCTTAATGATTTCTTCATCTTTACACACACACACACACAGACACACACACACACACACACACATACAGTTGACTCATCAAGACGCTCAAAGCTCCGGCCAACAGACAACCTCCACTGCCTCGGTTTACAGTGTGAGCCAGAAAATGAATGGCAATGGCTGTTTGTGTGGCATACAAACCCCTCCCTAGAACCCACCAGAGACTATCACCCTCCTCAGCTCGTTAAAAACCTCACCCAAATCGAAAGAGTAATTAACTTTCCACAGAACGCAGGCATGGAGTGAGATCGCTATCTCGCACACCGTTTTGCTTTCAGTGGGGTTTCATAGCCATGAGTTAAATCCTGATAATGGCAGGTCAAAAA